CTTGCTGAATCATGGCCTCAATGCCTTTTGCCATCCTTGAATTCCTACTGTTTCCCTTCTTCTCTTTCAACTCACTTTCCCATGTTCCTGCAAATACTTTGATATGGAAGATAGTTTTGTGTGTGTGTGTGTGTGTGTGTAATAATCATAAAATTAAGACTCTGTTTCATCTGGCAAATAGTATTTACCCCCACCCCACCCATTCAACCTCATTATATTGATAAAGCCATTACAAATGGCAGAATTTAGTTTTTTTTATGCCTCATATTTGAAAAATATAATATGAAATATTATTAATGTTTGAATAGAGTTGCTTACTCTGGAAGGCTCAGAGAATGGGTTCTCAGAGGCTGAGTGAGTACTTGATTATATTGATGATTGTATCCTGTCTATAAATTCTTTTACTGCAGAACAAGTATGTTGTGCACTGCCTTGAATTACTTAAATTACTTAAGTCAGAAAACTGGTGGGGAGTTTGTTTGCTGCTGGCTGGGGTTGAGAGCCTTGTTGCATCACGGTCAATGGCAAAAATCCCATTGACTTCACTGGGAGCGGGATTTCACCCCTAATATTTAACAACTGAGAATTACTGACTTGACTAATGAAATGCCCCAAGGATTTGAGAAGTAAAACTTCCTTGCTAAAAGTAGTATAAAGCTTTCAACCATCAGATACGCTTTGTCTGTCCTTACTTTAGGTCTTATCAATTAAAGTGCCCCAAAAAAGGCACCTCTAGGTAAAAATATGAATTCAATGGGATCTGTGATGGGGTAGAGGCTGTTGAAACTGCCATATAAGATGAACTTGCAGTCACCAAATACATAATTTACTGTGGTATGTGTTTGTTGGGTTGTTCATCTTGGTTCAAACTTGGATGCATAAAGGTAGCAGCTATATTTGTACTGAAGCACCTAAGTTGTCTGTGTTCAGAATTTTAAATATGGGTTTGGATATTTAACTTTAGGCACCCAAGTTTGGAATTGTTTTTACTTTGGATCACTATATGATAAATGTAAACTGTGCTAGAATTTCTGTAAGCAGAAATATTGTGGTATGAAAGAATAAGGTTAGAGGTGGTGAAAACCTCCTATGAGGCATTGTTTTGTTTTTTTGTAGGAAGAAACTAACAAACTTGAAGGTTTAAAAATAGGAAATGTACATCCTTTTGGAAATTACTTTGGTTATCAAGTAAATATTGGTAGGTGTTGATTTCATTACCAGCGCTTTCATTTGGAAGGAACTCTATATAATTATTGATCCACATCCGGTCACTGGCATGTGAACATGTTGAGGAAGAATTCCAGATTCTTCCAACAGTTACCAGAAAGAATTGAAATCAATGCCCTTGCATAAACATAGCTCGCAGTTGGGCTTTACTTTGTTTGTAGTATCTTTCGGCATTAATTATATTTCTCTGACTTGCTTGGATATTTGGTCAGTCCCAAAACACTGCAGGTTGAATTACAGGGAGTGTTGTCTGTAGTTGTGTGGTGTTAAAGCTTATATATTAACTATGAATCAAAGGGATTTTGCTAGTCAAGAGCTGTCTCAAATATCACAAGTTGTAAAATTTTCAGGTAAATATTTCCTTCAAAGAGTTACATGCGTGCTTGACTTCATGTCCCATTGACTTAAACTATTCATGTGTGGGAAGTAGCATGTGCATAAGTGTTTCCAGGATCAGGCCTTATTTTGTAGTCTCTCTCTCTCTCTCTCATACATATAACTTAAAATGGCATAATACATAACAGACCCTTTTGAATGAATGTAGATAGTTTGTGATATCTGATTTGCACTCTTCTCAGACTTCCAGTGGTACACAAGTTAAAAAGCTGTGAAATACGTTTCCCATAAGTAGCAATGCTTTTAGAATCATCTGTGCACAGTGGTTTCTAACTCACACGATTCTTCTCTATAATGATTTAAAGAGAGTAGTCTACTCGATTAGAATGTCTAATCAGATTGTGTAAGCTCTGTATTAGTTATAAATACTCTCTCTTTCAAAAGAGATTTTAAATGTCTTTTGAATATATTTTTTTGTATCATAAATTTCCAGCTTACAAAAGAGCTGTTGAAAAATCAGATTTTGGGTTCTGTCACTGTATAACTAATTTAGTTAGTTTGAATCCATGTATAATATTTAAAACAAGGAGAGAGGAGTATAAACCATTTCATTATAATTCCCATTGTCCTTTGAATTCTTATTTCATGCAGGCTGCTGCAGATCCAATGTCTTCCTCCGATGCACTGGAAGATGACCAAAAGGAAACTTCAGACGCATCACCGAATATTTGTATGTGTTAGTTTGATCGGAAAAAAAGAAACGTCATAATCGTAGAATGTAAAGCTAAATGTTTACGCTGCTAGCAAGAATGTGGTTACTAGTCTAAAAAGGAGCTAATGACCCTGTATAAAAAAGGTAGACATGTAAGTGGGGAAATTTGATTATCATTTATGCCAAAGCTCTACAGTAAAGGCCAAATCAGAAAACATGCCTTTTTTTCATCCTTGCTATTAGTTTAGGGTTTTTTTGTCAGTAATCTACTCCCATATTTTAAAACTAACGTAAATATGTTCTGTTATTGAGATCATAGTCATATCCAGCTTGTGTTTAAGCAGGGTCCTTCTCTCTAGGCAATACTTGGGTATGTACATATTGGATTCTCTATCATGGCACCACAACAACAGTGATGTTGCACTAGGTCATGAGGACATTATGTCACTGATGCGATGTTATCCTGCTGCAATGGCCAAAATAATTTTTTGTCTGGAAATATAGGCTTACATGCCATTTTAGATCAGGACTGTCCGGTGAAATGTAGGAAGAGTCCTGACCTGCGTACTAAGCCACTGGGTCAGTTTAGTGAATAACTGAAAATCTGCCTGAGGAAATAGGGGGACTCTTTTATGACTTTTTTTTTTAACTCGTGAAATATAAATTGTCTGAATTTATATTTGAAGGTGTGTGTGTAAGGGAAAGTACTGCTGATTTAAGTTGCTTGGCATTGACCATGAAGTAGGAGACTATCAAAAATATCCTCCAGTTAAAGAAAAACTCCAGAGGATTTCTCTGAAATCCTATGTCTGAGATGTACACACACAACACATTTGGAGGTGAAAGTCATACGATAAATTACTAAACCATAGGTAAATAAAATCTATTACATGGTTCTGCAGTTTCTGTGTCTTTGACACTTTACCTGCACTCTGATTAATCCTTCTCCCTTGGACTATTATAATACTCCAGACCTCTGAGCAACTTCAAACTGCTGCTAACTGGTAGAGCAACTTGCCAGAGAAATATTTCCTATTGGCTTGTAAAGCAAGTTTGTTGCAAACAAAATTACACTTATCCACCTCTTCCAGTTTTTTTTTTACTACATATTAAATCTTACTTAAAAAGCATCATTCGAAGCAGTTTGCTTTTCCTATTGAAATCAGTGAGAATCACTCTTTACCTCAGTTCCTGGCTCTTCACAGGCTGCTTTCATGAATTAGGCCTGGTCTACACTCAAAAGTTACATCAGGATACTCATGTGTCTCATGCGAGTGAAAAATTCACACACGAGAGACATAATTAAGCTGACCGAAACCCTGGTGTTGACAGGGTCTCTCATGGGTGTAAATTTTTCACACCCATGAGAGCCATAGCTATGCCAATGTAAATTTTCCATGTAGATCTTCCCTAAAGAGGCTTAGATTAGGATTTGGAGTCATTGCTAGTGTAGACTGCACTATACATGTTCCCCCATGTACAGGGCTTGTCTATATGAGGAAACTTACTATTCTAGTTATACTGGTAGTCTCCACACAGGGAGTTATATTTCAGAGTAAGAATGCCGCCTTCTGGTTTAGTTTATTTGCTTCTGAAGCAACTCTTCCAAACATACTGGAATATGAGTGTCCACATAGGAATTATAGTGGTATAATTAAGGTGGTAAATTTTCCACAGTATCTCTGCCAATGCATTTTAGTCCTGGTCTGTACTCATCTTGAGCCTTTCCTGAACAGAGCCTGCCCAGCTGGAGGTGGTTTTGTGACTTGAATAATATCTGTTAAGAACTAGGATGATATCTAATCCTGTGACTAACATTAAAAGGGGCCACATCACCCCTTCCAGAGGCAAAATTTACAGGATAGGACATTTTACTGGGAAATCTCAACAAGGTTTTTGTCCCCACAGAAAAACTCCCCACTAACCTGGCAGATCGCAGGGCCATCCCTGCAGGGGCCCAATAGTCCTGAAATGGCTGCCTAGCATCACAGCTTCACTAGAGTAGCATTGACTCCTCCCCTCCCCAAGGCACAGTCGTTCTTCTTCGAGTGATTGCTCCCATCAATTCCAATTAGGTGTGCACACGCTGAGTACACAGTCGTCAGAAAGTTTTTTCCTTAGCAGCTCCCGTCGGGTTGGCTGTGGAGCCCCCTGGAGTGGCGCCTTTATGGTGCTGAATATATACCCCTGCTGACCTGGCCCCTCCCCAGTTCCTTCTTGCCGCCAGTGACAGTCGTTGGAACTGCAGTTGCTTGCGTAGCAAATGCTTCCCTTAGCGTGCTTAGTAGCTGTAGTTGTAGTTAGTAGTTTAGTTTGTGTATATAGTTGTTGTTGTGTATATAGTTGTAGTTCACCCCCAATCCCTTCACCTTCCCCGGGTTCCAGGGCATGCCTCGGTCTCAGGGATTAAGCCCTGCGGAACCTGCAGTAAGACTATGCCAACAGGCTACCCCCATGACTCATGCCTAAGGTGTCTGGGGGAGACTCATCAGACTGAGAAGTGCAGGATCTGCAAGGCATTCCGCCCCAGGACTAAGAAAGTGCGATTTTCGTCTAAAACATCTCTTGATGGAGTCCATTCTTCACCCCCAGCCTGCCGCGGATCATCAGGACCAGGCACCGAGCATGTCCATGTGGAGCGCCCCGGCCTCCGTATGCAACACAGTGCCAAGGAAGGACTCTGGTCTAAGAGACCCTTGGCATCAGCGCTCCCTGGCACTGCAGGCTGCGTTGACAACCCGGCACCACTCCCATTCCCCTGTGCCGCACAAGAGGCACAGGAAGACTGATAAGGGTCATTCCCCTGTGCCGAAGGCAGCAGTGCCGGCAGACGTGGCAGCAGTGCATCCTATCCAGGAGCACTCGGTGCCAAGAGCACAGGAGTCGGCACTGTTGACTTCGATCCTGTCATGGGGACCGTTGAGTCCAGCACCCAGCAACGCTCCTGAAAGACAGTGCCAGGTGGAGAAGTTGGAGCTGCTCTCCACCCCGGACACTTTTGAAGCTGCCAGTGATCTGATTGCCATGACGGCACCTCAGCCCTCGTCAGTCAGAGAAAAGCCTCCGGTGCCACAATGACCAGCTCCATCTAGAGGCAAGCCAGCCATGATGGTCGCCCTCCCTGGCTCGGCATCACTCCCCACCTGGACTCAGTGTTCACTATCCCGGAGCAAGTACTCGAGTTTCTCCGATGGTGACTCGACCCTCGGACAGTGTGCGAGGGAGTCCCCGTCAACAGCCCCCACCCCTCCTTGTCCCTGGTAACAGACGCGTCAGCTCTGGGATGGGGCGTGCATTTGGGAGACCTCCAAACGCAAGACCTATGGTCGCAGCATGAACTCTCCCTCCATATCAATGTCAAGGAGTTGAGGGCTGTGCATTTAGCCTGCCAAACCTTTCAGGCCCGGCTACAAGGGCAGTGCGTGGCCATGATGACAGACAACACCACGGCCATATTTCACATCAACAAGCAGGGTGGAGCCCATTCCTCTCCACTGTGTCGGGAAGCCCTCCAGCTCTGGTTATTCTGCATAGGATGCCTCCAGGTGAATGGAGTGGGCTATCTCCCAGGATCACAGAATGATTTCAGACCATCTCAGCAGGTCCTTTCGCAACCACAAGTGGTCCATCCACCCAGATATCATACACTCCATCTTCCAGAGGTGGGGGTTTCCCCAGGTCGATCTGTTTGCCACCCAGAGCAACAGAAAGTGCCCACAATTCTGTTCCTTCCAGAAATGCAGCCTGGGCTCGCTTGCAGACACATTCCTGATCCCCTGAATGGGAAGTCTGTTGTACGTTGTTCCGCTGATCCCTCTCATGCACAAAGTCCTACTCAAGGTCTGCAGAAACAGGGCAAGGATGATTCTGGTGGCACTGGCGTGGCCTTGCCAACACTGGTACACCATGCTCCTGGAGCTGTCGGTGAATGCCCCAATCACACTGCCACTGCTTCTGGACCTGGTCACACAGGACCACGGTTGCCTCCCTCACCCCAACCTCCAGTCCCTCCACCTCATGGCCTGCAAGCTTCATGGCTAAACCCCATGGAGCTCCTGTGCTCGGAACTGGTAAGAGAGGTCCTGCTTGGCAACAGAAAACCCTCCTCTAGGGCCACATACCTAGCAAAGTGGAAGAGGTTCACGTTCTGGTGTGCTCAGCATCACACACCTCCACTCCAGGCACCCATACCAATCATCCTGGAGTACCTGCTGCACCTGAAATAGCATGGTCTTGCAGCGTTATGCATCAAGATGCACCTTGCTGCTAGTTCAGCCTTCCACCCGGGAGTGGCCGGATGTTCAGTCTTTGCCCATTTCCTCAAGGGCTTAGGGTGACTATACCCACAGGTTAGACAACCGCTCCCTGCGTGGGACCTTAACATGGTCCTCTCCAGGCTAATGTGGCCCCCGTTCGAACCATTGGTGATTTGATCCCTTCTCTACCTGTCACGGAAGGTTGTCTTTCTGGTCGCCGTTGCCTCAGCCAGGACGGTGTCGGAGTTAAAGGCCCTCACTTCCAACCCCCTAGATGGTTTTCCAGAAGGACAAGGTACAACTCAGACCTCACCAGGCCTTCCTTCCAAAGGTGGTTTCATATTTTTACACCAACCAGGACATTTTTCTGCCTGTCTTCTTTCCTAAAGCCTCACGCTAATGTCTAAGAACAGAGGTTCAACTCACTGGACGTTTGGCGGACGCTAGTTTTTTACATCAAGCACAGGAAACCGTTCCGGAAGTCGAATCAGCTGTTCATGGTGGTTGCGGACCAGATGAAAGGCCTCCCAGTTTCATCTCAGAGGATCTCATTGTGGATCATGTCCTGTATCCGGATGTGCTACGAGCCAGTCAAGGTTCCTTATGGCACACTCCACAAAGGCGCAAGCGTCTTCGGTGGCATTCCTGGCTCAGGTTCCGATACAAGAGATCTGCAGGGCAGCAACATGCTCCTCTATGCATACGTTCATCTCTCATTACACCATCATCCAACACGCCAGAGATGATGCCACGTTCGGCAGAGCGGTGCTCCAGTCAGCGTTTCCATAATTCCGACCCCACCACCTAGGCAGGGCTTGGGACTCATTGAATTGGAATCGATATGAGCAATCACTTGAAGTAAAAACAGTTTCTCACCTTCTTGTAATTGTTGTTCTTCAAGATGTTGTTCATGTCCATTCCAATACTCGCCCTCCTTTCCCCTCTGTCATAAATAGCTGGCAAGAAGGAACTGAGGAGGGGCCAAGTCAGCAGGGGTATATATTGAGCGCCATGAAGGCGCCACTCCAGCGGGCTCCACAGCCAACCCAACGGGAGCTGCTAAGGTAAAAACTTTCCAACGACTGTGTACGCAGTGCATGCACACCTAATTGGAATGGATATGAACAACACATTTTGAAGAACAACAGTTACGAGAAGGTGAGTAACCGTTTTTTCCCAGAGAACCTGAGAGAATCTGCAAAAAGTGAATACTACCTGAGGCTGTAATCTCTGCAGGGCATGATGTGCCTTTCCACCCACCATCCTATTTCTACCTGTCACATCTCCCGCCCTCCCTACTTCTTGAACTGCATGGAGAACCAGTTTCAATGCCCAGGGGGGTGAGGTTGGTACCGCAGAGGCACCGGAGCCCCTCTTCAACAGGGAGGCACTGAGATTCATGCATAGAGGTGCCCCCTCAACACCTAGATCTCAGTAACGATACGGTCCCAGGATTAAAACAAGGACTATTGTGTTTAAAACAATGGTATATTAATTCTGCTGAGCTATTGAGTCACCTATGTATTTTATTTCTTTTAATTGTTTCATTTACATGCAGCTTATAGATATGCATATTTTATTAAAATTTTTAGCTGATGCAGATGCATTTAAAATTCTCCTGGAGATGAAGATGAAGAAGAGACAGAAAAAGCCCAATCTACCAAGCACGGTGACCGAACTTGTCACTGAGGAAGGGTCTAAGGTGTTCGTGGTTGGTACTGCCCACTTCAGTGACAGCAGCAAAAGAGATGTAGCGAAGGTAAACACACAGGTGGAGCCATTCAGCAAAGTTGTAGGCCATAGTATTTCAACAATAATTTGATTAAAGTGAACTGCTAGCAAGTCCCAAATGTTATCAGTAATTGACATAAAAGCACCTAATGGTATATTTTTAGGGCAGATGCAGGTATAGTACAGGTGCTAGGACTATGGGAAGCAGAACAGACCTGTAAAAACTGGGATTGTTTCTCAAACTTTGGGGCAGAAATAACTGAATCAGGACAGGTCTGAAAAGCTGGCAGAGCTCCATGTCCCATGCAGACTCTGCAATATAGATGGCCTTACCACCCTGCTTGGCACTGGAAGCTGAGCAGGAGGAAACCTGTGCTAGGATCAGTCCCTCCAGCACTTTGGGCTCTTGATTTAGGTCTTGCTGATGGAAAGGCCTGTCCCTGCTAGGTTTGTGATGCAGAAGATCATAAAGTACCATTTACAATGAACTTTGCTAACGTAGAGAAAACATTAAAATCAGATTTTTCCAGCACAATTGTTACTCGATGTTCCTGTCCCCAGATGGCTGGCAGGTAATACCTTTCATTGGCTTCCTTATTTTTCTTCAAATAAGTAGGTGCTAAAAGCATGTGATAACTCAGAGCAATATCAATGGCCTGAAGCAGTTTATTTTTCATTGTCGTGTTAGTTGAAAATTCTTTGTGGAATGGATTCCTATTTAAGCCCCATACCTTACAAATAGCTCTTGTAAAAAAAATCAATATTTGCTGCAGTACCTCTCCATCTTGTCCACGTTTATGTAAATAAATCCATCTTTTTCAGACAATACAGGAGGTACAGCCTGATGTGGTTGTGGTTGAGCTTTGCCAATACAGAGTTTCTATGTTAAAGATGGATGAAAATACATTACTAAAGGAAGCCAAAGAAATCAATCTGGAGAAACTTCAGCAAGCTATAAAACAGGTATGATTACCTCAGTGAAAATTAAATCTATCTGTGCTAAAAGGTAATTCAGCAAACAGAAACATGGCTGCTACCAACTTCTACCAAGCCTACTAGCACTTCAGCCCTAGTGTGAGCATAGCTACAATGGTCAGGGCTTGTCTACATGGGGAAATAGCCTGGAATAGCTGTTGTGAATGGGTACTCTGCACTAGTTCCCCATATGGGCACTCTTGAAGTGGATTAAACTAAACTGCACAAAAGCACCGTTAGGGCTATGGTTCACACTCCCCTAATCTGAAGTGTGGGGCTGTGTAGACATAGCCTTAGTGCTAAATAAGAGTGTCTACATGGGGAGCTAGTGCAGAATAGCTATTGCACTTTCAGTTCACGACCTAGCTTATTTTGTAATAACTTCACTGTGTAGACAAACCCTCAGAGTTAAGGTTGGTTGTTAAGCCTTGGTTTCGGCAATTCCTGGCTTTTCAGTGCTTACGACCTTGATTCTACAATTGGATTTGTAGAGGGATCCTCTTTGATGTCAGCAGGGCTCTGCCTGGGTTTCACCATATGGAGCCTGTTGCAGGACTGGAGAATAACTTTGCAACCTTAATGTTCTTTTGACACTATCTTATGGAATTTTAGTCCTACATCTTGTTTATGTGTGTGTTCTGGGTATTTAATTTTTATATAGTTTCTGAGTGGTATATTTGGTTGCTTTTCCCCTTCGTTATTAATTCCATTCTGCATCATGTTAATATTTGCTATTTGTGTTATATTGTGGATCAATTGTCAGTGGATTAGCATTCAGGTCATATCCAAACTGGCTGGTTGTTAATGTGTGGATGTGTATGTAAATATAAATTCAGTCCTTTATTATCTGTATCGAACAATGAACTTGTATTTGTGTTTAATGAAGTTAAAATTACTGGGCAACAAATAAAAGTTAATTAAATGGTATATTTATCATAACTTGAACAGACTATACAAGCATTGGGTCACCAATCAATGGTGTCTTAAATCAGTGTTTTCCAAACTTGGGACGCCCTACACAAGCAGCGTCCCAAGTTTGGGAAATACTGTCTTAAATAATCAAGTTAAAAGGACAGGTTCATAATCTACTGCAGTTATTTTTATTTTATCCTGAACCTTTGGCATAAGTAAGTAGTCATATTGACATCAGTGGGACTGCTTGTGAGTTGATATTTACAGGCTTGGTCCCAAAACAAGAACACTCGCTCCCAATCTGAAATCACATGTGGTGAATAAGAAGTTAGTAATTTTCTGTGTGTGTGTATGGTCTCTCAGTAAGTTCTTTCTGACTCATGTAGCTAGAGCAATAACTAGTCCTTCCTGTTTTGTATGTATATAGTCTCAAAGACCAGGATATTGCAACATATTTAAAGGTTACATTTTTTGGTAAGGTTTTCTTTAAAGCAATGACCAAAATGACACAGTCTCTGTGCAATCAAGGGATCATTAAAGTTTTTAAACAATTAAAACCGGAACAAAACATCACTCTTTTCTTAGTATATCTAAATATGAATGCAACCGTTTTTGCCTTGCAATTTTATTAGAGGAAAAGACCAATGAAAATCTTATAGAAAAATGATTTCAGATCATTGTTAGACTTTTTACATTTTTTCCCGAATAGGAGACTTATGAAAGCTGATGATGGCAGCTCTGTAGTGTCGTGTAGTCAGCAGTTCCTGCCAGGACTTGGGGTGACTCTCCTTTTGTGCCGCTTGGTGGCAGTGCGAGTAACTCGATATTTGACCTTGTTCCATTTAAATTATTATAATTCTTGTGCTGTTCTTTGAATGACCATTTCAAAAACTAAGGTCAATAAATTAAAGCTACCTATGGATGGAGGGTCCTTTGTATGTAGAAACACTGTGCATTTTACCCATTCCTAATAGTAATCAAGCCTGCCTTGAGTGGATATTTTCAAAGGCATCCAACTCCCACTGACTCTCAACAAGAGCTCGCCCCCTAACTGCCATCTGTGCTTTTGACAGTTTCCCACCTACTCTACAGCATGACTGGCTGTTCTCAACAACCTGCTGTTTGTGACAGCATGATGTGGTGTTAGAGCAGTGTGAAACGCCCTGGTTTAGTTAGCAGGGATTTTTGAGGCCTCTTTTCCAGTTTCAGTTCTTCTTGGTTCATATCCCGAGTTTTGATTTGCAGTGGAGACCCAAAACACAAAGCAAAGCTCAACCTAAACAGTAGAACTTTGCCTTGATTTCAGTCGAAGGGTCAAAGCCATCCAGTCATCATCCCAGGATCCTTTAGCAATAACTGATAGGGAGTGCTGTGCTGGGGTTTCTGAAAAGTAGGCAGTTCGGGACTCTTGGAAAGGAACAAATTCCAAACTGCCAAACCCTATAACCAAGAGCTATCCTACCTCTCATCCTGATTTCCCCTCTCCCCCACCTTGTGCCTGAATTGACCCAGCCTCCCTGATGCCAGGTGCCTATTTATTTCCTCAAGCTAGAAATTGGCCAGAGGGTGGTGTCCAGGGGGTGGTGTTGTGAGGCCAGGCTAGGTCACGAGGAACTACCAAGTGAAGTGCACTAGGAGTGAGAAGTCATCAGACCAGCAGGGAGAGTGGGAGGGAAGAGGACGGGTGGTGAAAATGAGTGTTTATTCACAGAACACATGGGACAAATGCTTCCATGAATTCAGGAGAGATCCCCAGCAAAATAGGGGTTTTTTTTGTTTGTTTGTTTGTTTTTTTACCTAAAGCGGCTGAGGCTGGATTCTTGGTGAGATCACTTGCTGCCGTTTTCTCCTTTAGGACAGATGTAATTAATTTACGCTTGTGCTCTGGGTTTTCTTTTTGCACAGTGATGGAAACACTGCATCCTGCTTTGTAGCAGAAGGACATGACTGCAGTGTATTTCAGTCAATCATGTTCTTAATCTGCCCAAAACCCAGTGCCTGTCCTATTTGCTTAGACTCAAGAAAATAATAGGTGATAGGCTGAAGCAGATAGCAGCACAAGTCCAGACAAAGAGATTGAAAGTCTTAAATAAATTAAAATAATTATGTGAGTAAAATGCTACTGAGCAATTACTGAAATATAGCCTAAGGATGAGGGCTTGTATTTATTGTATTGTCTATCCACAAGTACATCAGTTTAAAAAAAAAAATTCTTCTCTTGCTGGGGATCTCTCCTGAATTTGTGGAAGCCTTTGTCCTTTGTGTTCTGTGAACAAACACTCATTTTCACTACCCTTCCTCCCCTATTCTGCAGCCCCAGGTCGAGTTTAAAGCTGTCTTCCCTTCATGGAAACTGGCAGTGCTACAGTTGCCAGCCCCCTAAGTTGGATCCCTTCTTATGCCCACAGGGTGAATCAAGCTCAGGGTTTTTCTTTAAGATCTCATCTGCAAGTCCATGAACAGGAAACTGCCTGATGCTCAGTTTTTCTGGAATAGAAAGAGGAAGTTCTGATTTGACTCAGCCGGTGTTCAGCACTGTTTGAAGAATCTAGCTGTTTCATGCTTACACTGCTAGGTGTACCCCACTCCAGTATCCCTCTAGCAGGGCAAATGCAGAGCAAATATGATCATATTCTGTGCTACTTATATTTGGAGGAGAATGCACTGTTTGTTCTAATTTATTCAATTACAAATGTGTGGTATGAGCTCCTCTTGCTATTCACATGGACAGATGCTTTCTTCTCATCTTGGGCAGGGGGGCTGAAACAAGGCTGGCTTATTTAATTATTTCTTAAACACATTTTTCTTTGAGCAAACAATCTGGTGTGTAACCAAAGAGCATTTTTAACAATGATCCCACATATAAATGATGAAAGCTGAAATAATGGGAGCGGTGTTCAGCAGTAAATCAGCTCCAGAGGGTGGCTTCAATGTTTCTTCATCAGAATAATTGATGGTTCTCAGTGATTGCTAATGGCACAATGTCTGTGTGTACTTCCTAGTAATCCATACAGTTTGATGGTTCCTCTTTAATGTTTTTTTCCCTTTTCTGCTAGAATGGAGTCATGTCAGGACTAATGCAAATGCTTCTGCTGAAGGTCTCTGCTCACATCACAGAACAGCTGGGAATGGCCCCAGGAGGGGAATTCAGGGAGGCTTTCAAAGAGGTAGGGGCTGGAAGTTGGTTGTTTCTAAGGTAAAAATATTGGTCTCTTGTACCTCAGTCAAACTAAATAAAGTCACGTGTTTGGCCAGAGCGCTCTTTTCTGATCCCTGTTTTATACATGGTGAGGCTGGAGAACTAAAGATCTTTTACTTAAAGGGGAACTGCAAAGAGGAAAGTAAAATTGTGACTTTTGCCCCCTTACTGCCCCTTTCTGGTGTATATATGGATGGTTCCATAAAGACTTGAAAAATATTTTCAGCTTTTGTCTTCTCCCTAGAAATAGTGGTATTCAGTTCTTACTTCTCTGTATTTGCTGGGGAATAGTGAAATCACAGTAGATCTCCAGCTGAGAGAGAGAGGATGCTAAACATTTCACATAGAGCTTTTCTCCCAGTTTTGGCCCTGGTCCTTCAATGAACTCCTCATAGGTGGAACCCTGTTCCCATGCAAATTGGGGCCTTTGTCTGGAGTCAAAAGGATTTGCATAGGTATTGCAAACAAACACCCCTGTCTGACTAGACATCTCCTGGCGAGAGAGCTGCAGCTCAGGTTTCAATATGTCCTGATGACAGTGTTGTCCTTCTAGTTCTCCGGATCATCATTTCCCCAACTGCGTTGGAACCCTCTATGGGAGAGGTGGGGACAGGGCCAGAGACTTTGAATTAATAAAATGTACCACTTTTGCAATGAGCAAAAACCTAATTAATGAATTAAATATATGAAGTGGTGGCTATTAAAATCAACAGTTCCCACAGTTTTCTCTGTTTAGGCTAACATGTTATGTAAAATGTTATCTCAGATAGCACTGTGTGGTAACTGTTGGGAGAATACTATTTTTTTTTTTTAATCCGTGTCTTTCCTATCCCTCATTTGAGAGGGAGAAGGTATGTAAGCAGGCTGGACAGCATTGTGTCTCTGGTGATCCAAACGTTGAACACACATGTAATGGGTGTGAGAGGAAAAACTGCTTCTTAAACTGGCAGTAGAACCATGTGAGGAACATGGCAGCATGAACACAGATGCGGACAGCCTAAGTATTGAGCTGTCACTCTAAGAATAAGGGATGGATTCTGCTACACTTGTGTTTGTGAAAATCTGCTGCTCCACTCCCACTGCCACCATTTATTTCCCTTTGTTGTCAATAGCAGGAAGAACCAGCCACCCTATGAACACCACCTACAAGATAAGAATGTAGCCAGTCCTGTAGAGGGGTAAATCTCCCCTAAGCTGGCTGAGACAAGATGTCTCTTCATGAGCCTGGCGTGTTTTGAAACTTGTTATAAATAGAGCTTACGGTGGCCCACAAACATTAGGAGAGTCAAATAGGGTTGTGACAGGGGAAAGTTTGGGAATCCCCAGTTCAGAGGATCCTCCAGCCAAAACTGGGGGGGATTCAAGATGTCTCATCTCCAATATAAAAAGACAAACTGAAAAAAAAAATCTTTGCAGCTATCTAAATAGTAGTAATAAGGGAAAGGGCACATACACAATCTTTGTTTGGTTTGCAGTTCACTTTAAGCAGTCAGTGCCAGGACAGAAACTTGTGTGATAGTAACATGAACATGCTACAAAGATTTCATGGTGCTCCTGCAGCTTAACAATGCTAGGAAAACTGCATTTTAGCTATATGCTATAATTCATGGGAAAATACAGTCTGAGTCCTAGGTAGAAGGTCAGACTTTGAAAGGAGTGAATTGGATGTATTAGGAAACTAAGCACAGACCTACTCCACTCTTGACATTTCAGTTTTAATACATGGATCTTTAAATGTTGAATTGTTTTGATGCAGTCAAATTGATTGAATAGTACCATTTACTGCAGAGCTTTAGTTCAATAATTAGTAAGTAATACAGTTACACTGATCATGCTACGTCTGAGTTGTGCTACGAGGTACAAAGCTGAAGACTAATCTGATGGGAACTGTGTGTGTCCAGTCCTTTTTTGGAATGGAGAGGGAAAGTAGCAAGAAGGTTGTGTTGTAATATGCTAACAATACCCATATTGTTCTACCAGATACTCTGCAGTGTCAGAACCCTTGTCAGCCCACCAGAAATCTATCTCTGTTTTAGACATAAATTTAATAATGCTGCTAACTTGAGACCTCCTTTTTTTCTGCAAGTCCATTATCAATTGAAGGAGAAAAGTAGAATCCTGGCAGTAGACTTGTTTCTGTTTTTTGTAAACACATTTAGTTTGATTCCTCACTGCCTGCCCCATGTGTAGTCGTTTACTCCTATGCAAAGTGAAAATACTATGGTATCAAATCAATATGTCGGTGTCGATGACTAGACAAAGCGCAAGGTAGCGGGGAATTATGCCCGTTATCTTTGGAACGCCTAATGGATTATACTCCCAGTACTATTGTAAATCTAGTTTTGTACAGGCTGTAATATAAAAATGATTTTTGAAATACTTTAAGAGGGAAGAGGGTGTCAGCAGGGATGCTGATGTTAATATCTGCATTCACAATAATCTCAAGGAAACTTAATGTCATAATTTGAAAAATATTTTCCAGTTTTTCTTTTTTCTATAATCCAGTGTGTGTTTAAATGAAACACAACTGACCAAATATGTTTTATACAGTGCTGCATATCTGCATGGAATGTAATTCATGAATACTAGGATTCTTGCAGTCCTTTGGTGGATAGTTGTTAGTGGGACACGTTTTTCAGCCTAGCCTTACCTCTTCTTGCATGTGCAGTTTTGTGGGAACTAGTAAGTAGTGATTATAGGCATACAATTGTGCCCATAGTTGTTTGCAGATATAATTAAGATAATCTGGATGACTGAGTACCTGAGCTGCAGGTACAATCAGGTACCTGATTTCCAAAATACTTTAATTGTGCTTGCAATGTATAGGTGGAAAACAGAGCCTGACCTTGTAAATCTATCCCAAAATCTCTGAGCATATGGTGATGTCACTTTAAAGTAAAATCTTAGCCCTTTTTAATGCTTATCTTTGTTGCCTCCATTTAGTCATAGCTACTTGAATCATCTAGTACATTTAAAGGCTCAAAAGGTCATTTGATGATAAAACACTAGGGGGTGAAATCCTTGTCCCTTTGAAGTCAACAGCATCAGGATTTTGCGCTAGGAATGACCTCTGCAATGTTAATGAACTCCAGTGTATTAATCCAAAAAGGCCATAGGATGAGTTCAGTGATCTGCCCAAGTGACTGTGGTCCCAATCCTGACACGCTGCAGGATCAGGCCCCTGTTGTGATCTATCTTATTGATCATATGAAAGACACTTTTGTCCCAAATGAGTTCCTGTACAATATAGAGAGTCTGGTTCCATTAAATATTTGTGAAGTGAACCTTTGGATCTGTGCTTTATTTGGTTTAGTGTTCCTCTCCCTCGCTTGCCATTTGTCACGCTGCCAGCCGTGGACTGGCTCTTTTGTGGTATCTGGCTTAAGACGTTATTTCTTGCTCAGCAGGAGCCAGGCTTCTAGAAATATGTTCATACCAGTTGAGAAAGTAGTACCCATACCAACTCTCAAACCTCTTCTAAAATGATTGTGATCTGAATCCTCACTGACAGAAAACAAAGTATTTTGAAATCATGTTTGGAAGGACCTTTTTGAGGGGCGGAAAAAGAGGTTTGCCTAGGGTTCCACCTAACATGGAATTCATGTGTTCTAGACAGGGCTCTAGAAGATCTGTGGCTTCACGTACCTCTGACTCAAAGATCTGTCATAGCAAAATCTTTTTTCACCAGGGCAAGCCACGTAGTGTCTAGTATCCCACTTCCACCAGCCTTAGACTTTCTGCCTCTCATTCTATGTTGTGTGATGGATCCAGGATAGTACAGATCCTGTAAAAGCAAAATTAAAAATCATTAAAATCATTTTTGCTTTTGACCTTATCCAGATCTAAATCCAAGTCTCGATCCCAATCCTGTCAACTGCAGTCATATGCAAAAAGCTTTCTTCTGCCTAGCCCAAAAGCTGGTGACTCTTTTGGTAAGGTGCAAAAGATAGAGAGGGTTAGTGTGCTGTTTGGTATGAATAGAGCCCTGGGTTTTTATTGTAATAACTGTTACATTTCATGGAAGAAGTATTCGGTTATGGGATATTACATTCAAAATGAAAATGTTATTTACCTACAAAATATAAAATTCTTCTTTGAGTGCTAGTCCCTGTTTGTCTTCCAACGGTGCACATGTGCGCCAGGCGTCAGAGTCTGGAAATTTTAACTAGCAGTGTGTATGTGTGCAGTAAATCTCCTTATGCTCTCGACTGAGCATAAGAGGCAGTATGTGCTGACGCCTCTCCAGTTCCTTCTTATTCCTCTCTGTCTCTGCCAGATGAGCATAGGCGGTACCAGGAGCTATTGCAGATGATTGCCAATGACCTGCAGATACCACTGGAGCAGGTCCAGGACCCACAACACTGGCTCTTGGATATTTTGCAACCTGCAGGCCCAAGGAAGGTGGCCCTTCCACTTAACGAGGCCATCATGAAGCTGATCTGGCACACTCCAACCCCCACATGAGGTGCTATTTTATCCCCACCCTGGGAGCTGAATACTTTTTCTCCCACCTTGCCCCCAACTCCGTTACAGGCAGCTACGGAGAGGGCTAGGGCGCAACATCAAAGGACCACTGAGAAGGACTCAGAGGTTGGAAAAAAGTCTTTTCCTCTATGGGCCTGCAATTCCATATTGTTAACTATCAGGCCTTGCAACAATATGATTTTAACAACAGTTCCAGGCTGGTGGAATTTAAGGACAAGCTCCCCTCGAAGGACAGAGCCCAATTTCAGACTTTCATAGAGGAGGGCAAGTTAGCGGCAAGAACACCTCTCCAGGCTGCAGTAGATTCAGCAGATGCAGAATCGAGAGGCCTGGCCGCTGGTATAGTCGTGAAGAGGGATTCTTGACTACAGTCTCAGAGTTTCCCCAGGGAGATGCAGAATACCATACAGGACCTTCGCTTTGATGAGCTGAATCTCTTCAGCGTCCAAAAGCATGAGTCCCTAAAGGACTCACTAAAGGACTTGAGATCGACTCTACGCTCCCTGGGGATTTACACTGTGGCCCTGAGCAGGAAACACCAGAGATAAGCCTATAGGCCAAGGCATTCTACCACTAGTGTCCAGCCAAACCTCCACGGAAACATCAGAGGGATCAGAGGTCTTACTTCTTAGCCCCTATACCACCACGACCTCTATCTGTTATGAGCTGCCTACTACCCTGATGCCACCCACCCTTTCCCCCATTATTTTTTGGGGCTGTCTCACACAGTTCACCCTCAATTTCGACTTGATCACGACAGACAGTTGTTACCCGTCAAGGATTATCCATCAAGGATACTCCATTGAGTTCCTTTCCTTCCCCTGTCACAAACCCCTTTCCCAGCCCTCTTTCAGGGACCACTCTCTCTCTCTCAAGGTTGCTCCTCATCAAGAGGTAGACTCCCTCCTGTAATGAGAGCCAATAGAGTGTGTCTCATCTCAGTGTCAAGGGAGAGGGTTCTATTCCCTGTATTTCCTAGCCCCCCCAAAAGATGGGAAGTGGATACGCATCTGGACTTTCAGCAACTGAATACCTTTATTCAAAAGTCAAAATTCAGGATGGTTACATTAGTGTCAGTATTTCCCTCCCTGCAAGAGGGGATGTGGTTCTCACCTCTTGACATGAAGGACGCGGACTTTCAGGTGAAGATTCATCCCTCCCACAGAAGGTTCCGGTGTTTTATGGCGGTCCAAGAACATTTCCAGTTCAGAGTTCTCCCTTTTGGGATAGCAACAGCACCCAGAGTGTTTACAAAGGTTTTTTCTATGGTGGCAGCCTAAATGAGACGTCAGTTACAATTTTCCCATATCTGAGTGATTGGCTCTTGGCAGGTCGCTCCTGCCAAGAGGTCAAGTTGGTGATGGTGTATCTGCTCCATCTTCTAGCAGCCCTTCATCGGAGCCATGCTGGACTCTGTTTCTGTGAGAGCTTTCCTTCCAACAGAAAGACTTCAGTTAATGAGCAGCCTGATAGCATGGATTACTTACAGACCAAGAAATGTGGTCAGAATGTGCCTTTCACTTTTAGGCCACATGGCTTCGCTTTGGTGATACCATTTGCCATCCTTCATCTACAGTGTCTACAGGCCTGGCTCTGGTCGGCCTACTCAGCAGACACAAGGTCACATTAACTCCAGAGTGACCGTTCCAGCCAGAGTCATCGCCTCCCTCACCTGGGTGGTCGAACCCAGAGAGAGTGAGAGTGGGCATTCCATCCAATGCTCCTACCCCCAGAGCCACCAACATAACAGGCACTTCCCTTCTGAGTGGGATGTTCACCTGAACAGCTTCACTGCACAAGGTACCTGGACTCCACAGGAGGCCAGACTGCACATCAATATATTAAGTGATAGCAGTCCACCTGGCTTGCAGACCTTTTCTCCTGCTTATGCATTTACTCCATATCCAAGTGATGTCAGACATCACCGTGGTCCTTTACATAAACAAACAGGGCAGAGCAGGATCTCTTCCCCTTTGCCTAGAGGCAGTCAGGCTTTGGCGCTGGTGTATAGGAGCCAGAGGAGACAAGACTTCATTCCCTCGACATCAGATATGCCCTGGTGTTCTACCTGCAAAGGACCAAGCCTATCAGAAAATCACCAAGACTTTTTCTCACCATAGGAGAAAGATTGCGAGGTCAAGCAATATCCTCTCCGAGAATCTCTAAGTGGATTTTTGGATGCATCATCGAGTGCTACAGGTTAGCACACATACCTCCTCCTGACGGAGTCAGGGCACAAGCCACCTCTACAGCATCCATGCAGAACATTCCAATATTAGATATATGCAGACCAGCCACCTGGAGCTCCTTCCATACATTCTCTATACATTGTGTGCTAGTTCAGGCCTTTGCTGCAAATGCAGCAATGGGAACTGCGGTACTGCAAGCATCTTCCTCACACCCTGCTCATATCTGAGCCCTGCTTGTTAGAATACATGGGACTAGCACTCCAGAAGCAATGGAGGTTACAGACCTGTAACTGGCTGTGCTTTGAGCTATGTGGTCCCAATCTGTATTCCACTACCCGTCTACTGTCCCCTCTGCTTTGGATCCTGCTGGATTTGAGGTAAGAGGAGGAACAGGAGAGGCATCAGCCTGCACTGCCTCTTGTTCTCTTGGTCGGGAGCATGAGGAGATTGTCTGTGCATGTGTGGGCCAATGGCCACTGCTTGTCAGAATTTCTGGCATGTGGCACGCATGCGTACCCATGTGTGGAATACAGATAGGGACCACACATCTCAAAGAACTTCCACTCACCTGTAAGTAACCTCCATTTACCTGATATTTAAGTGTGACAATATTTGCCCTTGTTTCCTTTGTGTTCTTTAGAACACTTAGGTTAGTGTAACTAGTAATGGTGTCCTAACAATCTACTAACAGTTAATGTGTACCTTCTCTTGCAGGCTGGTAAAGTACCTTTCTGTAAATTTCATCTTGGGGACAGACCCATCCCTGTTACGTTTAAGAGAGCCATCGCTGCACTTTCTTTCTGGCAAAAAATCAAGCTTGCTTGGGGCCTCTGCTTCTTATCTGACCCAATCAGGTATGAATAAGTGTTTTTAGCTTTATTTGAAAAGTAGATTGTAAGTACCCGCTCCTGCATGTTGCTGAACATCCTCAGTTTCACTTCAGTCGGAGCTGAAAGTCCTCAGCAATCTGTCGGAGATGATTGGGCCCAAAATCAGCCAAAAGGAAGAATGATCCGTAACTTCTTATTCCCGTCCAGCCTCCCCTGCACCCTTTGGTAGAAGGAGGGATTGTGACAGGGACAAAGTGGAGCTGCACTGTGCCAATTCGCAGCTGTTTTATGGTTCCTTAGGGACCATAGCCTGCTGTCATATTTCAGCTTGAGAACTGAGATATGATTACCAGCTCTCTATGCAAGGAGGTCTTGGCACAGGAGAGAATATGGTCCGTAACCTTTAAATGTCTGACTGTTCTGTTCATTAATATCCCCCTTTATAAAGGGTTTTTGTTAGCTTTCCGGGAAGTGTTACAGTAATGCAGTGGTTCCCATTCCCATTATTCTGTCTGTGGATTTTTCTCCCTCCAAAAAAATGGGTAGGGTCAAATTTGGCTCCACCTGAATTGGGGCCAAATAACTCTGCAAAAGCAGCATTAATTTGCATGGCTCAGGAGTGCATTCCTAGATGCCCTGGCAATTTACTTGTGCTCCCAGCAGATGTATAATGGGGACATAAGGAATTCTACCTGTTTCCTCCGATTCATTGCTTTGAGGGGATCCATTTGGAGGTGCCCTTCTGTTCCTCTCCCTGTGCACGCTCTCAAATGCTCTGTGTTGTAGTGACCAATCTTGCTGCTTCAGGGCTGCTTGACAGGCCCCAGGAGGAGCAGTGTCAATAATGCTCCTTAACTGGGCCGTGATGGTAGCTCCTTCCCTCAAAGCTTTGGCACGTTGTCTCAGGTGTGATGCCAATTTATATACAGTAACTCCTCACTTAGTCGTCCCAGTTAACGTTGCTTTGTTGTTACGTTGCTGATCAATTAGGGAACATGCTCGTTTAAAGTTGTGCAATGCTCCCTTCTAACGTTGTTTGGCAGCCGCCTGCTTTGTCCACTGCTTGCAGGAAGAGCAGCCCATTGCAGCTAGCTGGTGGGGGCTTGGAACCAGGATGGACTGGCAGCCCCCCTATCAGCTCCCTGCTCCCCTAAGTTCCCTGTGCTGCAGCCGCCCAGCAGGCTATCAATTGCCTGCAGTTCAGCTGTCCCTCCCCCCACTGCCATCTGCTGCTCCTGCCCTCTGCCTTGGAGCTGCTCCCCGAGACTCCTGCTTGCTGTGCGGGGGGGAGGGGAGGAAGACGGGGGTTGTCAGGGTGTCACCCTCCCCCCTGCTCCTGCACCCCGCTTACCCCATCTTCCATAGAGCAGGGGGGACACTCGACAGGGCTCAGGATGGAGGGAGCTTGCTGGCAGCAGCTGCGGTCTCAGCAAGCTGATCTAATTAATAAGGCAGTGTATTTAAGAGTAGGGTCAGCTGTACTTAAAGGGGAAATGCACATCTCTCTCTCTCACAGACGGTCTGTGTCTCTGTCTGTGATGCTGTCTCCCCTCCCTCCATTCCTGCTGCCTTGTAGAGTGTGAGAGTTAACCCTTGAGAGCTCAGCCAATTGCTAATTCATCATTTAGCAGTAAGGCATTCCCTGAGAAATATCCCACCCTCTGACTCCTCCACCTCAACCAAGCTTCACAATCATCATCACTGTGTACCAGTATTAAATTGTTTGTTTAAAACTTATACTGTGTGTGTGTGTGTATGTGTGTATGTATGTGTGATATAATGTGACAGACCCAGACCAGTGGGGTACAGGAGTCTGGTCGAGGGCAAATATACTGGTCACTGGATGAGTAGTTTTCTGTTCCCTGAGTGACCAGAGCAGGGGCTGCACTAGAGTAATCAGGAACCTGCTAGAACCAGTTAAGGCAGGCAGGCTAATTAGGACACCTGGAGCCAATTAAGAAAAAGCTGCTAGAATCAATTAAGGCAGGCTAATCAGGGCACCTGGGTTTTAAAAAGGAGCGCACTTCAGTTTGTGGTGTGAGTGTGAGGAGCTGGGAGTGAGAGGGTGTGCTGCTGGAGGACTGAGGAGCACAAGCGTTATCAGACACCAGGAGGAAGGTCCTGTGGTGAGAATAAGGAAGGTGTTTGGAGGAGACCATGGGGAAGTAGCCCAGGGAGTTGTAGCTGTCATGCAGCTGTGACAGGAGGCACTATAGACAGCTGCAGTCCACAGGGCCCTGGGCTGGAACCCGGAGTAGAGGGCAGGCACGGGTTCCCCCCAAACCTCCCAATTGACCTGGACTGTGGGTTCTTCTAGAGGGGAAGGTCTCTGGGCTGTTCCCCAACCCACATGGTGAATCTCTGAGGCAAGAAAATCCGCCAATAAGCGCAGGACCCACCAAGATAGAGGAGGAACTTTGTCACTATATCTATATATGTCTTTTGTCTGGTGAAAAAAATTTCCTTCGAACCTAACCCCCTCGTTTACATTAATTCTTATGGGGAAATTGGATTCGCTTAACATCGTTTCACTTAAAGTCGCATTTTTCAGGAACATAACTACAACATTAAGTGAGGAGTTACTGTATTTGTTTAGCTTCCCATGAGTAAGGTGTAATGAATGACTTCTATTGAATAGCTCTTACATGATTGACCACTTTCTTTCCCTTTCACTGAGTTCAGACACACTGCTTAGAATATGAGTCCATAGGGGGGTAGTTTTGCTTTCTTAGGAGGTACAGGACTCGTATAATTTTACAAGTCAGCGTGTCTATATTGGACTTTGAGAGCATAATACAGACATTGGGATTGTTTCTCTTTCTTTCAGTAAAGATGACGTGGAGAAGTGTAAACAGAAGGATTTACTGGAGCAGATGATGGCTGAAATGATTGGAGAATTTCCTGATCTCCATCGAACAATTGTATCGGAGCGAGATATTTACTTGACCTACATGTTGAAGCAAGCAGCTAAGCGAATAGAACTACCTCGTGCTTCAGAAAGTAATTGCTTTAAAGCAGATATATAACTTGTGTTTAGCAAGCAATATGTTCTTAATGTAGTACTCCAGGATTTTCCTTCCTCCCGGGAAATCTGAAAAGTTTTGCCGTCTTGCTTTGTAGACACGTACCATGTGTAATAAATGAGATGTCTTCATAAATTATAATGCTTAAAAAATAAGGGAGAATATTGTTAGATTAGTATGACAGCCTCTTCTACCAGTAGAATGAAATTCTTAGCTTTATGAGAGTGCTTTGAATAATGGATTCCTCCTTCCCATCATGCCTCTGTCAAAACAGGAAAATCCTAATTAGGCTGCTAAAGTTTGAAAAATGCAGGCATCAATATTACAGCACAGGATGGGACTCAAGTCTTTTTATAAAAGCAATAATATACTTCAGGAGGGGTGGGCATACTGAATACTCTAGTCTCTAAAGGCACTTGGCTGTCACTTTTGTGATCCATAATCCCTTGGGTTGCATAAGCATAATAAGTTATGGGTTATCTTATATCCAATATCTTAAGAAGATATTAGATGTAACTTTAGTGTAGGTCCACCGAGACTGTCTCCTGTTTTTAAAATTTCACAAATATTGCACTTGGGTCCCTGCTGCTCACTCACGTGGTGTTTCCTCCATGCTACCAGCTGGAGAAGCAGCAGAGTGAAACTGTTTTGCTGTCAGTCCCATTTGGGTCATGAGGGAAGCAGTAGGTGTCAAAGCAACATGTGAATGGTCTCCTTCTACTGTGGGGTCTGGAGTTCTCTGAGCAGAAAGGGGGATAAAACTTACCACCACTCTCCTCCCAAATACCTCAGCAGTAGTGGAGGATAGTTTGTGCAGTTTCTCTGCATGGCACTTCCCATGTGACCCAAGAGGACCAGAGTGAAACTGCTCAAGATCACATCAGTTTTGTTCTGCTGCTAGAAACGCTCTATGCAAGAACAGCACAGCAATGGCCTCATGCATGATTGAGCTTGGTGATGAGAAATAATGGAGGTAAAGGGGATGGGAGATTAGATTCCATCACTGAAAAGGAGATGCTACAAGGGACATGAGTAGAAAGGGGCTCCACCCAGGTCCTGCTCTGCATACTGGGCCCTCAACATGCTGACATGGTGGCTCCTGCTTCTCTTGGTGCTGGAAAGCAGGATGGGCCCAAGACTTACCATTGGGGAGGGGTAAGGAGCAGGGACTGTGGTGGGGGAAGCAGGGACTCCTGGAGTTTGGGAGGGTATAGTGGGGGGCTCCCTGGGCTGGGGCTCCAGGCAGGGGGTGGGTGTAGTGGCTTATAGGCCCAAGGAGTCAAGCTGAGGGTGGGCAAGGGAGGGTCAGGCTGGTGGGGGTGGGGTTCCTGGGAGGGGAAGAAGAGAGGTCAGGCTTGTGGTGATGGGGGGGGACACCTGGGAGAGAGACAGAACAGGGGGTCAGGATGTGTACATGGCGGTGTGTGGGAGGGGAAAGTGGGTCAGGCTTGTGAGTGGAGGTACCTGGGGGTGGGGATGACACCTGGGAGATGAATCAGCAGGGAAGGCAATGGCCATTTTTTTGGGTCTCTTAGAGGTCACAGCCCTATTTGGGTTCTGACCAGGTTTGGCCCAGCTGCCCTCTGACCCCCCTCACCATGACTCATGACTGGAAGAGGGGGGCAAATGTCAGTGAGTGGCATTGTGACCTGGCACACACCATCACAGTGCCACTCAGGTTTGGTACCCTAGGTCGATGCAGACAGGTTTGGCACCCTGGCGGCTGGGCTGCTTCTTGGCTGTCTCTGGGATGGCCATGGTGATCAGGGCCACGGAAGAGATGGGAACTTCTGGGTGGGGTCTGGTTTCTCAAGTCCCTTTTCAGGATTCAACTCGTCCGTGACTTGTTGGGTCTCCTTGCTGGCACTGGTGTCATGACCCATCAGATGTCTGCTTTGGGGTCCTGGTGGCTGGCCATTATGGCACCCATGTTTCTTCCCAGGGGTAAAGAACCAGCTTTCCTGCTCCCTCAGCTGCTGAAGCCCAATCCCACAATCAGTGTCTGTCCCTTATTTGTATTTATTTGGACCAAACTTGCGTCCAAAGCCAGCTAAGACTCAATGCCCCTTCCCCTTAGGAGCTGGTAAAGTTCCTCTTAGTTCTGCCTGTTTTTCAAAAGACAGCAGAGTTTCTCTGGCTCAAGAGCCTCCGAAACCCAGTGTACCAAACTACTTGCTCTTGTGTGATTTGTACGGTCTCCAGCAAGTTTTGTGTTCATCAGGATCACTTTCCCTAGAGCTGCAGAGCCAGCTGAGCATGGTCCAGCTTATTTCTAAATCATGTTGCATAAATGTAGCCAAATGATTAGCCTACTTAGGTAACATTTCCTAGACAAAAAGGAGAGAGTGGGTATTAGATTTGTTTTAATTAAATTGCCATTTATATTTAAATATTCTATCTCTATTAATATATTTCATATTTGATTTTTTTTAAAGTCTCCTCTGATATAATAATAAATACATGTAGATTTTTCTTTTATTTGCAGACTATATATCTCATGCTCTTGTTTTGGGGCCCTGTGCATTATGGAATGCACATAAACTAAACTCTCTAATCTGGCCCTGCTGGTGAAGGGGGAGAAGAGAAATAAAAATGGGGGGGAGCATGGAGTAGAGAAAGGAGAGAGAATGAAGCAAAGAGTGGAAAGGGAAAACAGTAGGGAGGACAGATAAAAGCTATTGGGAACAAAGAGAGAAAATTCAGGGGAGAGACGAGGCAAAGACCTAGGGGATAGAAGAAAGCAGCTGGATTTTCAAGGAGATTGTATCTAAGGCTTTTCATTTATTGAATTGTTAGCTGAAGAAGTATAGCGCACAAACCGCGTGTGTGTGCACACGCGTGCATGTCACAAGCAATTTATGGTGTCAGAAAACACTAGCATGTGAATTCCTTAGTGAATCAGGCAAAAAGGAAAATCTTGTTTGTGTATTTATTATTTATATGTTGATTTATCCCCATTATGCTGATCCACCGTACCTGGCAGAGAGAACCAGAATGGCACTAATTATGTTTCTGAAGTGTTGCTGCAGCATTTACTCAAGTTGGAGGGCTAAAACCTTATGCAATGTTTTGAGGGTCATCTAATCAAATAGGACCTCAAAATTTGCTCCTGTAACTTTGGTGGGCTAAATAGTGAGTGCATAATAGAAGGTGATTTGAGGCTCCTTTTATTTATTTTTGAGCGAGGGATACTAAGTGCTTGAAACACAACTTGGAAATGCCACTCCCAAAACAAAAGTAAAGACAACCGTCAGATGCTTTAAAAATAGGATAATTGCCCAGTCATGCAAAGAGAACCAGGTGGGCCAAACTCTGTACTTCTTAGGATCCCCACTGAAATCAGTCGCACTCTGTGTAGACAGAGGGGTCCAGTTTTGCAGAGCTCCCTTTGCAGGCTCAGGGCCCAAATGTGTTTTGCATTGTACCCTGATGACCACTAGACTCAGGTGACCTAGGTTACCCAAATTCCAAAGATGGTCAATGGAGAGGGACTTACCACTGTATGTGAGCTTCCAACACCAAGTGCTTATTGGTCAACCTTGACTCCCACAGCTGGGTATAACAGGAGAGGAGGTCTCTCATGGGACAAGGTGTGAGATCATTCAGGGCTTTATGGATCATTGCTAAAAACCTTGAATTCTGCCTTTCGAAGCAAATAAGAAGGCAATGCAAAGACTTCACCCAATTTTATGTGCTCACGGCAAGCCGTACTGGTGATGAGCTGCATTCTGCCCCAGCTGGAGCTTCTAGGACTTAGAGTACCACTAGAGGTAGTCAAAATAAGTAGGTTTTTATTTTATTTTATTATTTTTTTTGGAGGGGGGGAGTTCAAAAGAGAATTTTGTCATTCAAAAATGTTCATGTGTTTTTTAACTTTTTGAAAAAATGTGGTTCATGTTTACTGGGGGTAATTGTTTGAAATTGTTGCCTTGATATATGAGATTAAAATAAATAAATAAATAAAAAGTAAAGATTGCTTACAGTTTGGCAATGTTTTTCTCACTGGAGAAGAGACTGATGTACTTTTTTTCCCCTCTTCTCTCTTAGCTGAACCCAGAAAATGTATCCCGTCTGTTGTAGTTGGAGTGGTTGGGATGGGTCATGTTCCTGGAATAGAAAAGAACTGGAACACTGACTTAAACATCCAGGAAATCATGAGGTAACTGTCTCTCCTTTTTGTATGTTGATTTCGTAGCTCCTCAGCTTTACAATCTGCAGTAGCCTTTGTTTTTAATGCTTATGACATCTTGCTCAGGTCACCTAGAACTGTGAGCTACACTGTTACCAGTCTGCCTCAACAAGAGTGAGCTTTGCTGCTGTTAAGCTGTGTGTCCACTCCCCACTTCACCAGCTTGTCTGCCTTCAGGACTCTGTCAGTCCAAACCTTGCCTTGTAGGTAACAATCAGTGAACCCCAGTTCCCGAGAGACGTCTCTCTGGAGTGTCCAGTCCCTCTCACTGGATGCTGTTATTAAATTCACTGCCTCCAAAGAGATGGCGCCCACATTAGCTTGTTAAGTTAGCTGAAGATCCACACTTCACAGCAGCACTGAGAAAGTTTTGTAATAACACATGAATAAGTTTATTAACAAAGAACATAGGTTTAAGTGATTTCAAGTAAGAGTATGCTGTGTTGTTGTAGCCATGTCAGTCCCAGGGTATTAGAGACGAGGTGGGTGAGGCAATATCTTTTATTGGACAGACCTGAAGAAAAGCTCTCAAAAGCTTGTGTTTCTCACCAACAGAAGTTGGTCTAATAAAAGATACTATCTACCTTGTCTCTTCAGGTAAGAGTGAAAGAGATATGAAAGGTTACTAACAAAAGATGCTTTCTAGTGACTAAAACTTAATGTCGGCAAGTTACAATCCTTGTCTAAGCAGGACTCTCATCTATAGTCCGTTCCCAGAGACGTCAACCCCCTTGGTTGAAGGATCCACCTTTCTCAGATTTCTAGAGCTCTGGCCTCTTGTGTCCTTTAGTGGTCAAAATGTTTTTTTGTTTCTACTTATAATTCCTAAAGTCCATTGTCTCTGTTTCAAGAGCCAGGAAGGCTTCCTAGGGGTATAGCTTCCATCCCTCTTGTGAATGCTAAGTGATCATCCCCCCTGCTTGCTAGTTTGATAGCTCCGTTTACTGTATGTGTAAATGTACTTCCCTTGTTTCTGGGCTTATCAGGCTCAATTTACATTGGAGACACAGTCAAGCAGGCAAAACAACATTTCTTTGTCTAGGGGCTGGTCCACACTAACCCCCCACTTCGAACTAAGATACGCAACTTCAGCTACGTGAATAACGTAGCTGAAGTCGAAGTATCTTAGTTCGAACTTACCGCGGGTCCACACGCGGCAGGCAGGCTCCCCCGTCGACTCCGCGGTACTCCTCTCGTCTAGCTGGAGTACTGGCGTCGACGGCGAGCACTTCCGGGATCGATTTATAGCGTCTAGACAAGACGCGATAAATCGATCCCAGAAGATCGATTGCTTACTGCCGGACCCGGAGGTAAGTATAGATGTACTCGAGGACAGGCTGGGCTTATGCATGCTTGACAAACACCTTTTACAAACATATTTGCAGCACACATCTATAATTCTTTATACTCTGCATGTACATGCAGGGGGGTGGAGGGATAGCTCAGTGGTTGGAGCATTGGCCTACTAAACCCATGGTTGTGAGTTCAATACTTGAGGGGGCCATTTAGGGAAATGGGGTAAAAATCTGTCGGGGGGTTGGACTAGATGACCTCCTGAGGTCCCTTCCAACCCTGATATTCTATGATGATTCTAATATGTCATTCATAGTTGGGTAGGATACCTTACATAACACTTTTTAGATACAAGTTATGACAACAGTGAGGTGGGGCAATGTGTGTGCCAGGCCTGATGTGAGTAATGGTATGGTGTGCCCTCTGCCGGTTGGTATTGCGGGGCGCTGTGGGTCACAATGCTACAGCAGTGAAACGGTGTATAATACTTGCAGATTGTTCTTACAACAAAGATGAGAGAAGCTGTAAATGGAAAAAAAATGAACATAGCTGGATTTCCGGGGTGATGCATCTGATCAGAAAACGGTCTTGCCATAGAAGAAAATGTATTTACCTGTGTTTAGTGCTTTTAAAATGAATGTAGGGTACGTGATTCAGAGGTGAAACCTGCAGTATGTGAAACAAGAAGCTTCAAATATAACTTAACCAAAGAGTGAGACATTGTTGACCTCTGGGCTTTGGTTGTATTCAGGCAGCACTACCTCTTGAAGTGCAAAATCAGTTTCTCATAATCCATTTACTAAGAATAGCAGTGAAACTGTGGCAGAACAGGAGACTACAAAGGCTAGCCCCACCTGCTCACGATCTTGGACAGCTGCTGTCCATGCTGCCATGGCTTCACTGCTATTGTCGCTCAAGCTAGCTTTAATTTTTCAAAGCTAGCATGGGTGTGTCTACATGTGCTGCAGTCACACCTCCGGATTTGCAGTGTAGACATACTCATAGTACCTTTGGAATTCAGCCCAGATCAACAGGTTCCAGAATTTACCATTTGATTCCCTCCCCCCACCCCACCCCTTGAATCTATCATGCCCCATTATTGTAGTACCTGAGTGCCTCAATCTCTAATGTATTTATCCTCCCAATACCCCTATGAGGGAGAGAAATCCTTTTATCCCCATTTTACAGAAGGGGAACTGAGGCACGCAAAGGCTTGCCCAAGATCACATAGGAAGTCTGGGAATTGAACTCAGGCCTTCCAAATCTTAGGTTTGTGCCCTAAAAACTAGACCATATCTTTTGATGGCTGGTTAGTAGTCTCAGTCCAGTTGCTAGTGGACAGAGATCCAGATAAGAGTTACAGTAACTGGCATTATTGGTACCTTTGTTTGCATTTTCATTAGTGAGTTGAAGGCTGAATGGCATGGAAACTGACCTACCTATCTTCATGCCTGCACAAGGGATCCCTCTAAGTTAGGCGTAAGACATTTTGACTGAACTAACACTACTCAAGGCTGTGACTGTGGAGGAGTTGTCAGTCCAGCATCTTTCATAAGGCACTAAGTTTGCTTAAATTCTCCCGTTTTTTTAATAGTATAAATAGGTGTGGCAGAATTTGGTTTTTTATTTTTTTATAATTTTTATGATATTGATAATTTTTAAGCATTTTTTCAATTTTTATCAGTTTACACTTTAACAGTTGCGGAAAATTGTGGTATGGATCAGACAAAAATTATTTAATTACAATGGGTATCGATTCAAAAAGTGAAAGCTTTATAACTGTCGAAACACAAATTGTCAACGTCACATGTCAAAATATACGAAGTAAATATCTTCAAATTGAGTTCTCATTTAAGCAGCATTTTTCTTACTTTGCCTATCTGTAAGGTTTAATTATAACCAAATAATGGAAATAGTTTTGTCAGTTTGTGTGTGTATGATGAAATTGATGTTTACAACCATTTACCGATAAAAATCGAATCCTCCCAAGCCTAAGTATAAAGCAAGTAATAACCCTCGGAGTACAACCATTCTCAAACCCCGACTTCTTGGCTGGAGGATGAACTTTCAGCTTTCTCAGCATATTTGAGATGCACAGTCTGTGGGGTTATGGCCATGTATTCTCTGAGTATTCGTCCTAGATTTAAAGTTCTCTTGCTGTACTGCAGATACCTTTATTATGCTTCATGAGGGGCAAAGTGCTCTGGAAATAACCTTTCTTAGAATTCAGAATCCAAACAGGTATTTCCATTTACAGATTTTTGGATCATCCCATATTGAACTTACTGTTAAGTGCAACCACCTTTGGGTTTATATTCAAAGGTGATTTAAATTAGTTGAGAGGCTGAAAAAGAGGGAAAAGCAACTAATAAGAGGATGTAAAAAGATGGAAGCTAAAGTAGTTGTATTTCTATTCCCTCCCCCCGCCCCTCCGCCATGCTCTCTCTTTCTAAGTTGTACCTTTTTCCAACCCCTCAAAATACAAGATCTTGTTTATATTACGAAACTTATCTTTGTAACTAAATTAATTTAAAATCAACCTAATGACCCTGTGCAATCTCTAATATATGTACAGATTTAACCCAGTTTAAATCATGGTAATATAGTTTCAATTTAAACCAATTTGTCTGTATTACAGGGTTGCACCAACATAACTAAATGTAAATACACTTATTTATACCAATGAAACTTTTCTAGTACTGGCAAGTCCTGACCCTCTTTAAATCCTCATACTGATGTTTAACTTATGGCACCTCACACATCACCTTTGATTTTGGTTCTTTGTAGTTAGATGAATAGTCACATTAAAAACAATTCTGTATAGATTTAAATTTCTCCACAATACTCCTGACAACATTCTTTGTGTTTGTTAGGGTTTCTGATGGTAAAAGAGGTCAAGTTCCTTAGGGAATTAAAAGTTGTGCCCTACATGACTGGAAAGGTCATTGGTCCAGATCCTCAAAAGTATTTAGACTTCTACTGATTTCAGTGGAAGTTAGGAGCCTAAATACTTCGGGATCTGGGCCATTACCCTTAGATTTGGAATAAGATGTTGGATGTAATCTATGACCTTGAAAGAATCATTTGCTCTGTCTTAATATACCTATTCCATGCAAGGGCTCCTGGTACTAGTAAGGAAGTGTGTTGTAATGACAAACATTGTGGCAGAAATGATCAGCGTTTAATGAAGATAGGGAAGGATCTTTTTCTTCCAGCTATGTGGATGATAACTTTGTCTTTATCACCTTTACTTCAGTGTGCCTCCACCGTCAACTTCGAGTAAGGTTCTCAGATTTGTCATAAAGGCAACAGTTTTCGGACTGATGGGATACGGCTGCTACCGGGTAGGACAAAGGACAGTTCAATTTATTCTCTCGATGCCAACAACACAGAACTGTCTTCAGAGGCTGACGGAAATTAGACCTCGACATTGAAGGCCCAGTTGAAATACTGTCTGGAGATAATTGCAGAAAAGAGTTCTAAAGACAACACATGCTAATTGGGATGAAAAAGAGGGACTGAGGATTCTTGTCATAGGTTCCATTTGATGCTGAGCAGTGCTGAATTGCTGTGAAGTAAATGGGTTGCTATTAAAAGCTACACCAGCTGTGACCTAATGAATAAGTCTGCTTCCTGATAAGTGTGTGGTATGAAAGTACATGATTCCAGTTTGAGGTAAATGAAATATGTTACACATATATATTATATATCATATTATATATTATGTGTATATATAATATATATTTATGATGATGTAGTACAGACAGCATAAAGAGTGTATATTCTTGACTTTTTTCAGAGGAACAGAGCAACATAAGGTAACTTAATTATGTTTCTGCTCAACAGCGCAAGGACACCTCTGAGTAGTGGTTCGGTATAATAATACCAAAGGATCAGTCCTGGTGCTAAGCACCTATAAAATGATTTAGAAGGACATCTTCTTACAGAAAATTTTGTATACGTTTAGGTTTTTTTTAAACTTCAGAGCTTTCAAAAAAAAATATCAGAATGGTACAGGCTGTCAGACGTACACCGCCAAGTTTCTTTGAGCCTTATTAAAGAACTGAAACGTTGCCTTTAGAATTACATCTCACCTTAGAGACATCAGTAATCGTTTTCTCCTCTGTTGGAAAGGTACGTACCTTTATCAGCAGGTGTTGGTTAACTTCCAGTGTTTACAGGGCACTCTGTTCTTTTTGGATTCAATTATTTAACCATATTAGTTAGCCAAATCCTGTTGGCTTTAAGTTCAGTATTGTAAACTTTTGAGGCTAGAACTACTGTCTAATTTACTTTTCATGTCGCAAAGCTTTCTTTATTTGGACAATATGTCTGGGGTTGATATGTAGTACTTGACTTTACTTTTCTCCCCCCATACATGCAATGTTTTGTTTATCAGTATAATTTTTCAGTGGATGAGTATTTTATCTATTTAATAGAAAAGCAAAAATCAATTAATTTTTTTAACTAGCTATGGGGTTTGGAGTTTTTTTTCTTTGCTGTTTGTAGAATTATGGGTATGACTTCCACTACTGTAAGTGTACATCTACTTCTAATCCTATGTTCATTATGTTTTATAGTTCTTTCTGTATCCATTAGACAGGATTGCCCTTAATTATAAGTGCCCTTGGAAACAAACTATTCCCTCCCCAATGGTATAGCAATCATAATTGTCATATCGATAATGTTTTAATCTCTTTATTTTATGTGAAAGAGGTCCATGTGCTACTGGAGCTCGTATGCAATTGCAAATTGGTTGAAGTGAAGTCCATATCCGTTCTTAGGGCCGGCAAAGGAAGCAGGTGCTTGGGGCGGCCAATGGAAAGGGGCGGCACGTCCAGGTCTTTGGCGGCAATTCGGCGGCGGGTCCCTCACTCCCTCTCGGAGGGAAGGACTTGCCGCCGAAGAATGAAGCGGCACGGTAGAGCTGCTGCCGAAGTGCTGTTGATTGCGGCTTTATCTTTTTTTTTTTTTTTTTCCCCTTCCCCCCGCCGTCTGGGGAGGCAAAAAAGCAGGAGCAGGCCCTGTCTGTTCTGATACCTTTACGTGGGGAGGAGGAGCTGAATCTAAGGGATGGCAGCAAGGAGAGGTTGATTTTGGTTTTCATACAGTTCAATAAGGTTAACAAACTGTGCTTGGTTATTAGTAGGATATGTTTTCAAAGTCTTGGGTGGGGGAAATGTCTTCACACAATCTATTATTTGCCCAAGATTTTTGTGTGCGTATCCTTCATGCAGTGTCTTTTTAAAAGCTTTTTCTCTTTAACCCTAAAGAAATGAATGGCCTAATCCTGTTTGCATTTATGCCACTGACATCACTGGCGAGCTGGTATGTCTATTGGCCTGGTACTCCAGTGCCTTGCACCTTGTGTACTTATTTAGATCCCAATCCAGGAAACCACTTATGGAGATGCTTAATTTAAAGGATGTGTTTAAATCTATCCTGATTAAAACACTTTACTTATTTAAGTGCTTTTCTGAATTGGGGCGTACACCTGTGCAAGGGAGTGTAAAATACTGCCTACTCAGAATGGCTGTATTTCATACTCACTTTTCACAGATGTAAGTGACAATGCAGGACACAGCGGAATTGGGTCCCTCGTCTTCAGTTTTTTATTTATTAATGTTTGAAACAAGCAGTGATCTGCATTGAGCTTGAAGGCAGAATTAGCAAATAACTGACTAGAGTGACCACCTGAATTCTGAGTCTTGATTTTTTGTAATAATTTAATAAACTGTTTAGCAGTCATGTTTGAATAATTTTATTACATTTTTATGTACATTTTTAAAGACAAAGCTTAAGCCCATTCTTCTCCTGGCGTTAGTGACCTACCAAAAGATTGGGAGTTCTTTCCCCTCCTGAGATTTCTCTAGGAGGTTTAGTTCAATGTATTAATGTTTTGCTTTAAAATATCTGTGAACATATCTGTGCTCAGGTAATTTTACACAAAAGAAAAAAAACGAAGGAAAATCGCAGACAAATGAGCCTTAAATTTGGGTGGGGCTAGCACTAAATGATTGTCTTGGAGCATTTTCACATGTTTAGTGTGTAATTTTTTTCCACATGTGCACAATTACCCGCACCCCTGGAAAATGGTTACAATGTCAGTTACTCTTTGATTTTTATGACAATTTGATTATTACCAAAATTTGTTGTTTTTAAAAGTGTATTGTTTCCCCCTCTTTGACTCTTAAAATATATAAACAGATTCTTAAAACAAGCTGTTTGTTGATGAAGAATTTGTTCTCAAACTGGCAGATCATCAAAACCCCCAAGTATTTATCCTGGGGCAATCAAATGGCTGATGAATTTGCAGACCTAACAGTCCTATGAATCCACATATAAGTGGTATATGTTGTATACTTGATGTGCTATACTATCTGTGTAACATGCTCAATGTTTTACCCTCCATTAATTTCCTTCTGTGTTCTAGAGTCAATCCTTTAAGTGTTAACAACATCCAGTGAAATTTAAACATATGTTGAATTGTCCCAGCCCTCACTCAACCCTGTGAAGCCATATTGTACTTTTTGGTAAAATGTGCATTTGCTTTATGCATTTGTACATCTTATGTAAATTTGAAGTATTTTTAACAAGCGTGTGCCTTTTAGTCTACAACAGTTTCAAGTAAACAGCAGTATGTTCTATGTTATCCAAATAAAATATTTTAACCACTGTTTCTCTTGAAGCCATTTATTTTTGGTATTAGTCATCATTTTTAAAAAACAAATACTGGTTAACTAAAGTAGATGCAAAATATGCACACCACCTAATGTATTTTTCTAAACCATGACTATGGTGCTGAACAGCTTGGCCCAAATTCAGCAAAGCACTTAAATCCATGCTTAAATTTGAGCACATCAGTAGTTTCATACGAAGTAGATCATGTGGTTATGTGCTCTGCTTTGGATCGGAACCAGAACACTCGGTGGTTTGAAGGACTGAGCCTCATAAGAGGCTAAAGGTGAATGAATTTGTGGCAAAATAAAACAAGAATTTATTTAATCTTGAAAATTGGACCAGGTTAATCAAAATAACCCTTGCAAAAATATATGTGCAAAGCTTTAATTTTAAGTCAGGATAATGTTCATATTGAAAATAAATCCATTTGTAACAGTTAAATATATATAATAGTCAATTTACTGATAATAGAATATTCTATGCGATTTGCCACTCAACTGCCTATACTCTTTGTATACATTCTTGTGGAGAAAGGGAGCTTATGCAGCCCTCTGGACATAAGCATTAAGTCCTATTATCCTTTTTTAGGCAAAACTCCTGCTGATGGCAATGTGAGCTTTGACTGAATGAGTGCTGAATAGGCCATTTAGATGAGAAGCAGACGCTGTTTTTAAATAAATGTTAAAATAAAGTGCTGGCCATGGAACTTCCCTCTGACATGCCACTGAAATAGTTAAATGAGTTCTGAAAGTACTGTCTCAGTTGGGGCCCAGTCTGGTAAGATGTTGAGTGGAGCGGGGTCCTTGTTACCTTCCAGAATTGGATCCTCATTTTGCGGCTAAAAGAAATGTACCAGGGCCAAAAAAAAGTCTTAAAGTAAAACAAAAATGACTACACTTCCGGAAAAGATAATCAGTTAGCTAACCCAATAGAAATAATACACAATGATTGGGCAATTCGGTATACAAAAGTGCTGAGGGGAGGTAGCTAAATCAAAGGAATGCCATGCTCTCTCTCCTCCCACCCACATCCCTTCTAGTATGTTTTTAATCTACTCTTTTGTGTAGGAATAGAAGCCACCTGCTTTTATAATCTATTGTTTGTTTATCACTGTTGTATACATACATTTGGCCAAGATAGTATTTATGATGAACGGTCTTTTTTAATAGATGCTGACATAATATGAATCAAATTTAAATTATTGAATTAAAAATCACCCAGAGTTGCACACGGAGTTGCTTATTTGAAGCTATGCATGTGAAATGTAAAACCCTTTTTAAAGTGCCAGTTATGAGAAATATAACAAGTTTATCTCAAAGTGCCAGACAGTAGTGGGAACTACACATTAAAAAAGAGGAAAATTGTGTCTTTTGTGTAATTCTAAGACAAACTTGTAGTTATTTGCTGTTTCCCTCTGAAATTAAAATAAACTTTAATTTTAGACTTTGGTGTTGCAGGACTGTTTCTTTACTGCAAGTCTAATAACTCCTATCTAATAACTTATATTTACAGTTGCACTAATGAAGGGTCATATCCAGCATGGGGTTAAGCTCATTCACCTGCCTTTTGATATTGACTAAGTCTGAGGCCTTGGCTACATTTGCAGATGTACAGCGCTGTGAGTTAAACCTGACTTCGTGCAGCTGTGTAGGGAAAGCACTGCAGTCTGTCCACACTGACAGCTGCCCAGCGCACTGTCGTGGCCACATTTGCGGCAATTGCAGCGCTATTGGGAGCGGTGCATTATGGGCAGCTATCCCACAGAGCACCTCTTCCCATTCTGGCGCCGTGGGTTGTGGGAAGGGGGCATGGGTGCGGGGCATTCTGGGTCCTGTCCCAACGTCCTGTGATGCATCGCTTTGCATCCCAGAAATCCCTTTGTTTCCGTCCACCTTTGGCGCCATCTATCAACGGTTTCTGTGCAGCGCGATCTGTCTGCGGGAAATGGAGCCCGAACTGCTGAGGTGTATGCTGATGAGTCTCGCCAGCACGTCATGTTTGGCTGTCGAACTGTTCCTTAAGATCCAAAGTGACAGTGAAAGTGAGGAGTCCAACGATGCTATCGAGCCGCGTAACGCGTACGACATGAAATTGCTTGTGGCATTCATGGACATGCTCAGCACCATGGAACGCCACTTTTGGGCTCGGGAAACAAGCACCGAGTGGTGGGATCACATCGTCATGGAAGTCTGGGATGACGAGCAGTGGCTGCAGAACTTTCGGATGAGAAAAGCCACTTTCATGGGACTGCGTGAGGAGCTTGCCCCCACCCTGCGGCGCAAGGTCACAAGATTTGAGAGCTGCCCTGCCAGTGGAGAAGCGGGTGGCTATTGCAATCCGGAAGCTGGCAACTCCAGACAGCTACCGGTCGGTAGCAAACCAGTTTGGAATGGGAAAGTCGACCGTTGGAATCGTGTTGATGCAAGTTTGCAAGGCCATTAATCGCATCCTACTCAGAAGAACCAGGACTCTGGGTAACGTGCAGGAAATAGTGGATGGCTTTGCACAAATGGGGTTCCCTAACTGGAGGGGCGATAGATGGGACGCACATTCCTATTCTAGGATCCGAGTACGTTAATCGGAAGGGGTATTTCTCTATGGTTTTCCAGGCACTTGTGGATCACCGTGGGCATTTCATTGACATTAACACAGGCTGGCCTGGAAAGGTGCATGACGCACGCATCTTTCGGAACACTTGGCTGTTCAGGAAGATGCAGGCCCGGAACTTTTTTCCCAGAGCGGAAGATCACGGTAGGGGAAGTTGAAATGCCCATTGTGATCCTTGGAGATCCCGCTTACCCGTTAATGCCATGGCTCATGAAACCCTACACGGGGAGCCTTGACAGCAGCAAGGAACGGTTCAACTACAGACTGTGCTGGTGCCGAATGACTGTGGAGTGTGCCTTTGGCCGTTTAAAGGCCCGCTGGCGATCTCTGTATGGGAAGTTGGACTTGGCCGAAAACAGCATCCCCGCGGTTATATCCGCGTGCTGTGCCCTCCATAATATTTGTGAAGGGAAGGGTGAAAGCTTCACTCAGGCATGGACCTCTGAGGTTCAATATCTGGAGGCTGAATTTGCACAGCCAGAGAGCAGGGCTATTACAGGGGCCCAGCGCGGGGCTGCAAGGATTAGGGATGCCTTGAGGGACAATTTGAGGCTGAAAACCAGCAGTGATATCTGGTGCCCTGCACGGGAGTGAAGTGCAGTAGTTCCAATCTTTAGGAATCAGTGTT